AGGTATTATTGAGAAGGAGATCACTCAAAAAAGCTACGCGCATGCAGCGCTATGCAAATGAACCAAGAACAAAGCTGCCTCAGTGCGTGAAGAACTTTTGCGCGATGCCTTTGAAGTCTAATGTGTTCCCCGCCACCAAATGCTCAGCAGGCTTTGATTACCAAAAGATTGAACACGGCGAAATGCAGAGCACGTTATTTTCTCAATGCGCACTACTTACAGTCAATCACTATGGCTGCGCAATCGTTTCCATCTTGAAGCTAATACATTGATCTTTCAATCAATACCAAATATAATAACAACTTTTTTTAAAAAAAGAGTTTCGATTTGAATGAAACATTTACATCAGCTTTAAAAGTATGGTATATTGCAACTTGAATTTCCATAAATTGATAATTCCAATTTTAACAGATATTAATTAAGGAATGATAGAGGATTATAATAAACTAAATCATTTTAGGGTTAACGAGGGTTAACTATTAAAAAATGAAATACGCTGCCCTAGCTTTATAGTCAAACAAATCGATCTTCAGACAAAATTATAATAAACACAGAAGTAATTTTAACAGAAATATTTTGCGGAATCTGTTCCTGAAATATACACATAATAACATACTAAAGTCCGAAAAAATCCAATCAGGGGAACATTGTTCATTATAAAGGTATTGAATGGGTCAAAATCAGACGCTTTATTGCACAACTGCTCTGCTGAAGCGTATAAATGCATGTCGTTACCAAGTTGTTGCTAACGAAAAAAATGTGAATTATAGGGTAATACGCCCGCGCGCGATTCAAAGGCAGGGAACACATTGGTTTGGCGCGTCAAAAGGATCTGTTGCCGAGTGATCTTCCTAATGGCTATGTTTTCACACGGCAGCTAACGGTTAGCAGGATCCGGATCCTGCTAACGGTTAGCAGGATGCGGATCCTGCTAACCGTTAGCTGCCGTGCGTCCATGCGAGAAAATCCCGATCCGGATACCAACAATATGATAATCGAATCACTGGCCAATAAGAAACTGGAAATTGTAAACGCGTACGTGTGATTGGTTGATGATAGAAACGCCCTCAACTTGCTAATCGATAGCGCTTGCTAACCGTTAGCGTATCCGGATACCGCTAACGGTTAGCGCTAACCGATCGGGCGTTCTCACGCAGGTGCTAACGGTTAGCGCAAACGGTTAGCTCCCGATCCGGATACTAGGGCTCTCTTGAGAACCAGGCCAATAATACCTCCATGGTACAACGTTACGATTATAATCATATGTGGCAATTCAACAGAAGGACGCTCTCGAACATTTGATCTTTACTGTGGCATCGACAATCCGATACTAGTTGCGAGTACAGCCGTCAATTATTAGTCATACGTTTTATGGTGTTAGTTAGTATTTTAATATTAATTTTGGGTACTTCGCAATGTCTGTTACATCTTATTTCTTTTGACCGCGAGCTTGTTAAATGCTTCTATGAACTAACTGCAATTTGATTTGTGAAAATTGACCAATAAAATGAAAAGTTATAGCAATTGAAAATTTACGAATTTTATAAAATTTCAAGTTCTTATGTCAAACTGTCTTATGTTAAACTGTAAACTGTCATTTTGACAATGTTTCAAAAAAAAATCAAATCAAGTTCTTATGTCAAACTGTCTTTTGTTAAACTGTCATTTTGACAATGTTGGAATAAGGTGCACAACACGAACATTACATACATAGAATTTATAATTTAATCAGCGAAGTGAGTTTCATGAATGACAATACAATACAACATCGGTAAAATTATTGTTGAAATAAAAAATATAATTTCAGTCTAATGTTAGTGCAAAATAACATTAGGCCTTTGTAATCACCGCACGACGCGCGATTATCATGGCAACTAACACGTACGCTGACGGTACGGTTTATGGTCTGGTTGCTATGGTTTTTGCACATGCGCCTAGAATGTCGATGCCAGAGTTATAACCTTTGATGTCCCGAGATGAGCGTCCTTCTGTTGAATTGCATTGGTGTGGCGTAGAACAATGTTACGATTATAATCATATGAGTTTGACGTATTAAAACTTTATGATTATTAATGCTCTGGAAGTTAATATAATAGGATTATCAATTCTGTGTGACATAAAAACGCTATGATATTCTATCTTGTGTGAAATAAAAACACTACGATTGTCAATCCTGTGTGACGTATTAAAACGTTACGTAAAAACGTATTAAACGCGTTAAGATTATCAATCATGAGTATTAAAACGTTATGATAAAAACCATGTGTGATGTATTAAAACGTTACGATTATCAACCATGTGTGACGTATTAAAATGGTCGACCATGTGTGACCAGGGAACAGTGAAATTTAATTTCACTGTTCCCAGGTGTGACGTATTAAAACGTTATAAATTTGAATCCCTTGTGACGTATAAAAAAAACGTTATGACTATAAATCCTGTGTGACGTATCATCAGGTTATGATTGTCAATCATGAGTGCCCAGCAAGGGGGGATGGGGGCACTCAATCTAGATCTGGGTACCCATGTGTGTGATCAAGGCAATTCAACAATTCATGCTTAAAAAATGGCCTAAACACGTTCTGCAATGCATAGAAAAAGCACCCCATTTCACGTAATATATTAAAATCTTACTCCAAAGTGAGTACATATTTTTAATGTAAAAATTAACCTTAAAACGGGCCTCAACACAGGAAGCCGGTGCCGGGCGTTCACTATGGCCAAGAATTGGAAATGAACAAACTCGAGCGTGGTTCCACCTGGACGTACGTCGGGCGATTAATTCGTCCCACTGTGTGAGACGCGCAATTTCCGACGCACTGCTTGTCTGACTCCTGTCTTCACTGCATCGGTCGGGGGTCGGCCGACGCTGTCTGGCACACGGAGACGCGGACCCTAAACACGTTCTTAATGTGTTCAAATATGATGCTATTAGAGCAATAATATGAGCATTTTTCATACCCTAAAACCGCAAAAACCGTTGCTAAAACAGCAACGTAGGTTACGCGCCTGTTTAGGGGAAAATAAACCTTTTTCGTGATTTTGGTCACACACATGCGACCCTGAGATCAAGATAAGTCCCCTCCCCAACCGGGCATGGGGGACGTATTAAAAACGTTAACTTATTAAAAAAAAACTGTGGGAGCAAATAAGGTGGTGCGTTGTGTCTGATTCTGAATCCAATAAGGGTGAAAGCACCTTGACCAGTTTTTCCTGAAATGTGTGCATATAAATGCATATAAATGAATAAAAATAAAAATTATTTGCTTGATTAATTAATTGATTGATTACATTATGTTACAGGAATGAATGCCGGACCACATCCTAATAGATTGAACACAATTTCATATTTCAACTGATGCACTTTTTGGTACAAGAGACGTTTTTGAAATGATTATTGAGAAAATTATTGTTCCGATTACTCTATATGGATGCAAAATAAAATTATTTAACATTGTAAATAATTGCATCCATTGGATATTGAATTTGATCAATATATATATATATATATATATATATATATATATAGGCCTATAGGGCCTATAATTATACTATTGCATAATTGTTATTGTTACTGTCAATTATTCATTCCGATGCTCATGATTTCATGTATTTTGATGTGTATTGATGTTTTGCTTTTTTATATACTCTCCATTTTGGAGGCAATCTTGAATAAATTGAAATTGAAAATAAGGAACACAGTGAGCATAGATTTGTTTAAAAAAGTCGAAGAAATTTAATGTAATCAGCTTATATGCCTGTTTAATGTTAATTTGTGAATTGTTAATTTGTGAATTGTTAATTTGTGAATTGTTAATTTTGTGAATTGTTAATTTGTAAATTGTTAATTTGTGAATTGTTAATTTGTGAATTGTTAATGTAGAACTCAAACGGAAATTAAATAATGCACTTTTCCGCTAAGCCCCTCCCCTTGGATATTGTTGCTAAGGTCCCAGAAATTGATAGTGTAAAACATACGCAAACACGTGCGTTTGTGAGACAATACATGTGTTTGCAGAACACGTGCGTATTCCTGGCACTGTCTGATTGGTCAGTTGTTAAGTTTGATTGACACTCCGGAAAGGTACATTGTTGTTGAGGGGGTGTCCTCGATAAGATGTTTTTATGATCATATAATATGTATGGGAATTATCTCTGTTTGCAATTATTTTAATATATTGTAAATGATGTTAACAATTATCCAGGTACATTGGTGACACTGATAATGGTTATGATTGTTATATTTAGTTGTTATTTTTGTTATTATTATTGCGGTTTTATGTCCTTGTTGGTTGTTATGATTACTGTTATTGTATTGATCACGTTATTGTCATTATTTTGATGATGAATGATGGTTAAAATGACAATTACTGTAGCTTTATTTAAGATAGAAATAGTATTGATGGCAATAATGGTGATAATTATAGCGATTGAGATTGTTATAATAATTATGGTACTAAATGTTTATGATAATAATGATCACCTAATGATGATAACAATAGTAATAATGATTTTAATAATAGTGATGATAATAATAATAATGATGGTAATAATAATAATAATAGTAATAATATGACCACTTTGAACTAATTTGTGCAATACTTTGCCTGCCGAGTAGTAGTTTGTTCCGCTGTTTCCTTATTCTCTTTTTTATTTGTTGGTTGTGTGTCCCTATTGCGTTTCCTGGTTGATTTTTAAACTGTTACTGCCCATTTCATTTGTTGTGAAACCTTTTTTTTGTGTTTTGATATTTAAATTGAGTATTAAAAAGAATATAATGAATTCAATGTTAATAATAATATTTTTTAATGATAATAATGAATTTAATGTTTAATAATTATATTAGTTATACATTTTTATTGATTTTTATTGTGTTTTATTTAGGTGTTTGCCTGTCTCCGATGCTTTGTTTTAACCGGTTGTTTTATCCCCAATTGCTTTTAGTGCCTTTTATCCCTTTTAATGTTATTGTATAATGGTTGTCCTCCACTTTTCCCCATTGTCCCTCGTGTTTTAATTGTATTCGAGATTTTATTTTCTGTTGATTTTTATTTGGTAATTTTTAATGTTCAACTTCAATTTGTACTGTATTTGATCAAATTGGAATAAAGTATTATCGTATTACAATAAACTGGTCGGGGATTTTTTCTTATCTCTTAACATTTTGTTTATGTTAATTTTTTTTATCACTCTGTCTTTTCTTGTTTAACACGTATTAAAGGTAATATCGTTACCTTACTGTTTTATAGCTCTTAGTTATTGTAACTGTTATTTAACTCGTTTTACTCATGATTTTGGTCAAGTGAATGAATGAATAAATGAATAAGGCTGCTTATTTGTTTTTGTCTGGAGCATACTTTGCGTCTCTCCTCAAGGGCTAAGTGGGTACCTCGTTGGGTTTTTTTTTTGTGGTCTTTCGGGAGTCACCCACCTTTATTGTCACTATTCTTCCATTGTTTTCATTCATTTTTCCATCTTTAATATATTACATCTCAAATAAAATACGGGTAACTAATATATACATGTATAATACTTTTGTCAAAATTAAAGCCTTAAAGTATGTTTTTTCCATGGTAAAGTTTGAAACAAAAAGAAAAGAAAATAAAAAGAATTGAAAATTCATTAAATTGCTTAATAATTAGATCCAAATATAATCGATTTGTGAAATATATTTTTTGGTAATTCTCAGTCAGTAGGACATCCTCTTTGGTGTTCACCGGTGTTTCATATATTTTTTGATTTTTTTTTAATTATAAAATTCAAATTCATTATACTCTGTATTTTTTCCACATCTTTTCACCTTTGTACAATACCCATCATCTTTGACTTTCAAGATTCAAGATTCAAGAAATTATATTTGTTCATATAAAAATACAGAAAATTGTATTGCTTGGCAGATGACAAAAAATAAAATGAATAAATACAGTGCCGAGTTAAACAAGAAGGTGCAAAAAGAGTCATACAATAGACAATAAAAATAATAAGGAAAAACAGTTCAAAAGTTAAAACCCAATAAAATGTTTTAAATCAGTATATTAAATGAAAGTTAAAACACTAAAGATAAAATTAATAAGAACCTAAAAGAATTACAGAATTGCAACGGACTTAGGCCTTAAAAGTGTCACCTGTATGTACTTTCCTTTAAAATTTATTTCTTTTTTTTTGTATCATTACTACTTTTTACATTCACAATTTAACTTCAAAATAGATTTCTTAATAAATTGTATAATGTTATGAGACTTTAAAATCTTCATATAAATTTTAATAGAAATAATAATAATAATAATTTTGTATCTAAATTTTGTTATTATTTACAATTCGTAATACAATATTGCAGTATTTACTTCTATTTGTGACTTCTTTTTTTCCCTTTTCAATGTAGATATGTAAAAAAAATTCTTAACTATCAATCAGCAAATGATGTATTCTTTTCCATTACCTTTTACTTTGTCGATATATAAATCACCTTTAATTCTGGACATGATGTAATGTTTAAAGGCATTCCATAGATCAGTAAATCTTGATTTTTTTAATTCACAAAGAAGTTTTTCTTTGTAAATAGTAGAAGCTGCAGCAGTGTAAATATAATCTACAATTACATTTTCTGTTCCAAGAACTATTTGCTTAAACGATATATCTTTTTGCCCAATACTTCTTAATATATTTTTAACTTTCATCCAAAAAGGTTTAATAAAAGTAAAATTGAAAAGCATGTGGTATTCATCTTCAACATTTTCTTTACACTTATAACATTTGTCAGTATCTTTTAGTTTCCATATACTGTATGTAATCTTTTTTTAGTAGGCAAAACCATGTGTAAGAGCTTGTAATTGATCTGGGCTAATTTTTTGTCCTTCATTTTACATATTTTATATAACCAACATAACTTCCAATCAATTTTGTCATCACTAAAACAATCTTCTAATTTGTTTGTATCATTTTGTGTAACAAAAACATTGTTTACTAAACATGCATATACATTTTTTGTTTTAATATGTTAAAAATTTTTATTGTTATTTATGTTACCTTCATAGTTAAAAATGAATGTGTTTTTAATTATATATTTCCATTGGTCTGGTATTGCTTTAATTATGCAAACATATTCATTTTAGGCAATTTAATTTGCGTCGTAACGTATAAATGTATTGTATTTACAAGATCCTTAACGAACACTATATCACAGTTAATCCGGTGTTTGTATAACAATGACTTCTTATTTAGTTGGATTAATTGATTACCCCAAAACTGTGTACTCATAATTTCCTCATATTATGTGTGAATATCCTTTTGATTTATTTTGTTATATTTAATACAAGCTTGCAATACATTAAAAAAAAATATTGGCATATCATACTCAACATTAAAATTGTCTAGACACGTCATATTAAAAATAACCTTTTCAGGACCTACTTTTAGAATAAAAAAATTTGGAATACATTTTCACTTGGCATCATCATTATATAAAATGCGTTTGGCCCATAATATATTTAATGCATTCACATGTAAACCAAAATCAGGAAATTTAATGCCACCCTTCTTTTCATCACCAATTAACGTTTTCGTTTTATTTTCTCTCTTTTGCTATTCCAAATAAACGCATATATTAAGCTATCTACTTTATCAATTACATATTTTGGCACATCTATAATGTTTGCTGCATATACTAATTTTCACAAAGCAAGAAATTTTAACACGGTAACCTTTCCGTGAAAAGAAAGGTTTCTCGCACTCCATAATTTTAAGGTTCGTTGAAGTTCTATCAATTTACCATCCCAATTCAATTTACCATCCCAATTCTTAACTGTACAAGACTTAATGTCGTATCCTATGTAAATTTTGTGTCTGTTTACGGTCAATACAGATATTTCACAAAATGATTCTATAATGCTGATCCCATAATATATTTAATGCATTCACATGTAAACCAAAATCAGGAAATTTAATGCCACCCTTCTTTTCATCACCAATTAACGTTTTCGTTTTATTTTCTCTCTTTTGCTATTCCAAATAAACGCATATATTAAGCTATCTACTTTATCAATTACATATTTTGGCACATCTATAATGTTTGCTGCATATACTAATTTTCACAAAGCAAGAAATTTTAACACGGTAACCTTTCCGTGAAAAGAAAGGTTTCTCGCACTCCATAATTTTAAGGTTCGTTGAAGTTCTATCAATTTACCATCCCAATTCTTAACTGTACAAGACTTAATGTCGTATCCTATGTAAATTTTGTGTCTGTTTACGGTCAATACAGATATTTCACAAAATGATTCTATAATGCTGATAGAGGTACGTAGACTTTGTTCATCGCCGACATACAATACAGTCAGCTAGTTGACTAATTTTTGCCTCTATATGTTTGGTAACCTAATTCCTTTAAAAATATTGGTATTCCTTATGTTACATGCCATAATTTCAACAAGTATGAACAAAAGTGCTGATAACGGACAGCCTCGTCGTATTCCTCTCTCCATATCAAAATTTTCTGAGACCAATTCGTTAATCGTAGTAGCACATTCAACTTTTGTGTATAGCAATTCAACCCACTTGCAGAACGTTTTACCAAAATTAATTTGTTTAATGCCGCAAACATAAAATCTCTAATTGAATCAAATGCCTTTTTAAAATCTAAAATTACTATAGCTCCTTCCAAATTGCATTTGTCAGTGTAATAATAAGTCTTCTATTAGACGTACGTTTTCTCCAGCGAAACGCCGTTTAATGTATCCTTTTTGTTCAGAATTAACTAGTGATTTTATAACTACACGTGTCTATTACTTAAAACATGAGCAAGAATTTTATAATCAATATTCAACAGTGTGATGGGTCGCATGTACTTAAGCATGTGGACCAATCATATGCACTGGGCATTTGAACATATTAGTATCAAATCTGTGCATTAAAAATGTATAAAACATTATTATTATTATTATTATTATTATTATTATTATTATTATTATTATTATTATTATTATTATTATTATTATTATTATTTTATTATTATTATTATTATTATTATTATTATTATTATTATTATGTATTATTATTATTGTTATTGATATTGTTTATTAATTATTTATTATTATTATTATCATCATCATCATTATTATATAGTTTTATCAGGATGGACAGCATTTTATCATACGTTTATAACATCATTTGTTCCTGTATCGAACACTCCTTTTAATAACTTACCTATTTGTTAATATTATATAAATAATCTTGATAAACGGATGACCCTGGGAGACTGAGGTTTATAATAAAATTTAAAAAAAACAGTGATCGTGCTCCATAAACGGCAGTAGTCACGTAGTCTGCCTCAATTACCGTATCGTTATCAGATTGCTGTGTAGGCGTAACTTTATAAAAAAAAAAAGAAAAAAAAAAAAGTCATGGACTTTACACTTAGTTGTTTGAACTTTTGCTTGTCAATTAATAACCCAGTCATGTTTTTAAGTGATGAAATGTAAACATACACACCCCTAAATTATTTAACTTAATATAAGTTACCGGTATCAAATTCCAATGCGATAGGTATCCAGTTAATGTTTAGCCCATTTGAGTAATCCTCCATTGTACAGATTGCATCATTTCTCTTCTTATGATATTTAAGGCTGATGTCATGTCCAAACGTATTATGAAGAGATAGTAGAATTGCAATATAATTCGGTATCTATACGAATAAGCGCCGCTCTCGAATAAACGCCGCAACAAACGTGATATTTTTCGTTAAGCGGCGCGGCGCTGAATCGAGAGTGGTTTTATCTTGTGTATTTTTATTCCTAAATGTGTTATCGTTCTTTTATGAAATTTATCAATTATTCAATTGTGTGTAAAATTTGTGTATATTTTATAATTGTAATTAACTTGACCTTCCACATTTTTAAACTTATATTTTTATATAATAGCTAATCTTGTAGTTAAGTTTAGTTTTCTGGGGCTCCAGACTTTTGTCATGGTGACTTTGTTGCTTTTGGCGCCCCAAGACACTTGTCTGAATAAGTCAATGAAATTAAATGAAATAAAACATTTTGAGAAACAGGGTTTTAAATATAGGCCAATGTAGGCCTATACAGTGTTAAAATGAATATAAATATCACAATGAAGACACAAACACTTCTTATAAACGTTTATTTACGATGACGTAGAGCCATGATAGGCCTACCGAACTACGGGAATACGTGAAATAGGTATCATGGAAACGGGTGGAAAGCGCCACGCCAATATTTTTTATAAGCCCTACTCTTGAATAAGCGCCGCTCGAGGCTCGAATAAGAGCGCGCCGCACTGAATCCTTCAACAGATGTTTAAGCGCCGCGGCGCTTAATTGCATTTTCGGTAGAGTAACAACCTTTGCCAAGGGGAGAAGCTCAGACAACAGCTGTATCAACCACAATTATCGTTATCTGATCAGGATTTAAGTTGTGACTAAATTAACGGCAGGACGATTAGTTCCTCTGCCGCCGAGTGACAAGGAGACGTGTTAGAAGTGAAAATTTCAATACTGTATAATTATTTTCATAACGTTTTTATTTACCTCATTCTGAAATTGTTAGTCTAACAATTACGAAAACCAGCACTGTACCAACACTTAAGAAATTCCGACAGGTAAGAGTCTGATTAATTTGAGTAGGGCCTAGGCTTATGCCTATGTTTGGTGCTACCAACGATTATTAACAAAATTGTTATATTTCTTGTCTAAATTTTTCAAAATAACATATAATGGAAAGAATAATACAGATATATTTAAATTGCTTATAAAGTATTTAAATCGAAAATCAAGGCGAAACGTATATCTCTAGCTAATTAACGGGCGCGAAATAATAATGGTCCACTCTTCTTTATCGGCCCTTAAATTTGTCCGGTAATTAGTTAAAATATTTCGTAGGAAAATCAGCAAAATTGTTATTGTTTTGATGTGTCGCATTATAAGATTTTAACTCATCTAATTGTAAAGAATAATGTCGTAATTACGTTTCCGATAAACCCCAACGATTGGGGCTAAGGTCCCCATCGAAAAACGACAATAGCATACTTCGTACACACACGCGTTTTGTGGGATAACACGTGTGTTCGAACGGCACGCTCACCGATTGTTATGGTGGTGTACGGTAAGAATGGCCCCGGAAAAAATGGCCCCGGAAAAAATGGCCCCGGTAAAAATGGCCCCATATGACAGGTAGATAAAAATGGCCCCAATAATCAAATTCAGTATTAAAACTGATTTTCTTGAGTCAATATATTGCCATTTACATTTTACTTTTTGCAAGAATTAATATTCAATGATAACATCAAACAAATTGCCATTTACATTTTACTTTTTGCAAGAATTAATATTCAATGATAAAATATTCAAAGATAAAAAAAAGCCATGAATTACACTTTTTATTTATTTTTCCATTTAAATGTTAAAAAATAGCAACAACATAATCAATAAATCAACATAAATCATGCATTTATTGATACTAAAATAATTTACTTGTGGCCGAATTACAATCTTCCAGAAATTCAATCTGTGTATTGGTAAACCCCACAAACAGTGAGTTAGTATGAACATCAAATTATTATTTTTTTTTTTAAGAAAAAGAAGTTCTACAATCATAATTTTATGGTTTAGATGGGGTTTGCAGTGTGTTTAGAGGTTTGTGGTGTATTTGCAAGTATTTTGTTCATAAAAAATCTAAATTTTAACCACAAAATAGTTATGAATGAATTTAATTTTCTTATTGGTATACCAAGTCAGTCAATCACAATTGAATTGTTTGATTTTCTACAGTGTGTTTTGGGAGGTTTGTGGGATTTAACAATACCACTTAATCCTACCATAATCACCCTACCATCACAATCACACGCTATTTTAATTCTTAGCATAATTGCCATACATAAATATATATAATTCTAAGCCAGTAGTAGGCAGTTGGATTTAGTTAGTGATGAGTAAAAACCAAGTATGCAACTAAATTAGTTGCTTAAATAAATGTATTCCTAATTATTCAGTTTACTAAAAGCAATACTTCTTTGAATAAACTCTAAGCAAACAATTTATTGCTTAAGTTTGCGAGAAAGTAAGACTCTCCCTTTTCCCATACATGAACTTGTGATTCAAACACACAATTAATCCACATGCTTTAACTACTGTTTATTTGCATTGTTTATAACATGTAAAGTTAATTCATTTGATATTTTAAAAAAGTGAATTTTGTGGTTATCTATGAGTTCCATATTTTGGTAGTTGAAGTACTGTATTAACCGAAAGGTCCACTGATTAATCTCAGATAAGAAAGTATAATACATACTCCAAGTATTAAAATACACGCCATCGTGTTGGGATTCAATATTTCGACATTAATTATGTCATCATCAGGAATGAAAAATTATTCATATTAGCAAGCTTATATGCACTAGTACCAAAAGTGTTTAACCAATCAAAACATTACCTCTAGTAGGTGACATAGCTTTGCTCCATGGAACCATAAGATCTCCTGGATTCGTAGTTTAGTTTCTAGAGCCCACAGATTGTGTACTCCTGATAAACTTCAAACAGAGCTTAGTAACATCAGGAAGTTTATGTCTTGGAATGGGTACCCTTTAAAAGTTGTTAATAATGTACTTAAGAAATTAAATGAACCTAAATGTATACATAGGCCTACTGATGAGAGCTTGATTAAGATCTGGGTTAGATTGCCTTATCTAGGAAAACCAGGTGAGTCCATTTTACGTAGATGTTTAAATAAGGTAAAGAAACACTTAATTAAAGAGGTAAAATTCATAACTTTATGGCTGTATAAAAATGTTTCTCATTTTATATCTACTAAGGATCAAACCCCTAAGGAGTACAGAAGTTCTGTTGTCTATCATTTTAAATGTCCAGGCTGCAATAGTGATTATATTGGTAAGACAGATAGGTGCTTAATAACTAGACTTAAAGAACATTCTTCACGATCTGATAGTGTTATATTTGATCATGTTAAAAACTGTGAGGCATTCCAATTTGTATTAGGATTACAGGGTATACTTGAAAATGATAATGTCGTCTGTAATGTAAGTAATAAATTAGGTTTAATATTTTCTAGTACTAACATTATTGACAGCTGCCGAAACTGGTCTATCCTATTGTTTAAAGAAGCGTTCGTTATACGTAGACTACACCCTTTGCTTAACAATGGGCTCAGAGCTTCAAAAGAGCTTTTTTTTGTTTTTGTAGGTATCTTTGATCATTAGAGTAAGAATGCTTTGATCTTTTGTTTAAATCACTGCTATGTCACCTACTAGAGGTAATGTTTTGATTGGTTAAACACTTTTAGATGTGTATAAGAGACAGG